CTCAGATCTTTGGTGGGTCCTCCAGAAAAAGCAAAGAAGACCAGGCTGAAAATTCAGTACTCTTTCAGGATGGAAAACAAAAACAGTTTATAAATGAACCACTGGGCCTTGCATGCTTATCATAAGCAAGCAAAAGGAAATGCAGCAAGCCACAATCAATTGTTTTCATTTTCTGAGGTGCTCCTGGAGGCCGGCTCTCCGGGAGGTCTGGGTGGGCTGGCACATGGTGGTTGTCTGCACCCCATGAGTGCTTCGGGGATGGCCAAGCATCACGACCTCCCCGGCTCACGGAGGGGGCTGAGACCAGGGTTGACCTCCAAACGCGCATCAGCGCCGTTGCCACACTGGGGGACTACCCTAACGTACGGCCCTCGGACCTCCTGGAGACCCCGTGTACCCCAGCGTGCTGGCAGGGATGCATCCGGTGCCAGTCCCTCCCCAGCACTGACGGGGGGTAGGAAACCTCATGGGAGGTGTGAGTTTTCCAGCTGCAGTGGTCACGCACGGAGACCGGCAGCGGAGCTCGGATGTTTACCAGCCTCACGGTTTGTTTTGGGCTCGCTGCAAGGCTGCAAACCACTTCCCATGTGTGGGGGCTGTTTGCAGGGCGCTCTGCAGCGTCTCTCTGAAGCATGGGTCCCATCCTGCTCCCCGTGACGTTTTTGCCACTCCAGATGGGCATGTGCCCTTCAAAAGGGCTATTGTCCGGCTGCCCCGGCCAGCACGGGCTCTGCCTGGCACCCACATCCCCCGGGAGAGGAGAGGGCTCGGGCAGCTCTGACACCCTTCCCCGCTGTGCCTCGTAGCCTCCCCATGCAGCATCCTGCATCCCTGGGGGACGGGGCAGAGATGCGCAGCTGCAGGAGGGATGTGCTGGGGACAGTTTGCAAGCAGGAGTGGAGGGGAGCTGGGCTTGGTCCAGGGTCACCTTTGCCCCAGGCTGCAGGACAAGGCTGTGAGCCCTGGGGCACTGCACATCTGCCCCAGGAGAAACCACCAGCATCTTCCAAATGGAGCACCCCGCACCCCACAACACACATCTGCTTGTGGGCTTATGGGCAAGAGGGTCACACGGTTGGCAGGAGTGACAGGGACGGGATAATATCCCTGTATGTGCCCCAAAGTCCTTCTGATGGTGCCAAGGTGCTGGGGCTGGGATGGTGCGGCCCCGCAGACAGCTGTGCCCCCAGGGGCAGGCAGGCTTGGGGGCGACAGATGGGGACAGCCCATCATCCTGGTCAGCCTGGGGACAGCCCTCCCCATTGTCCACCAGCAAAGTACCCTGCATCCCTCTGCCCTGAGGGTATGTAGTTGGGACCTGTGGCTCTTGGCCAGGGCAGGATTTTGGAGGGACTTGAAGGAGTCCCAAAGCCTCTGGGCTAATCCTTGTCACCGTCTATCCCAGGGAATGAAGACCTGGCACCCACTATAACATCCTTCCCTGCAGTCTTCCTTTTTGAATCACTTTAGCTTTCTTTTTCTACCCTGCCTGCACCCAAACAAATCTCATGCCCCAGTCCAGGCGAGGCTGGAATGGTGAAACATGGCTCATTTCCGGGAATAATAAAGGAAGCTTGAGAGAAGTCAGCTTGTAAATACTTAAACTGCAGGAACTGTGGCAGCAGAGAGCTCGGGGATTTGACAGAGAAGCAAAAACTGGTGAACAGAAACAGAAACCTGAAAACAGAAGTGGGAGCGTGTGGCCGGAGCAGCAGCCAACGGGGCAGGGGGTCAGCAGTGGCTGGAGACAGAGGGACAGAGGGACAGAGGGGTGCCTCCCTCCCAGGGGGCTGCTCAGCACTCCATGGGAAACGGCATCACACTGGGAAAGGGCAGCTTTGCCAGCGCTGATCCATCTGTGCCGATGACACAACCAAGCGACTGCAGCTGCAGCAGCTCTTTGCAGACCCTCCTCCCCCGCTTCTGTCAGACTCATTAGCGCTGATGACGGCTCCTTTCCTTCCACTGACCATCTCAGGGCGGCTGGACGGAGGTCGGAGCTGCCTGATGCAGATGACATCACATCCCATCACACCCCCTTCCACCCCTGCACAGCAAACAAGACAGCACCGCGCGGGACCACCGGCCCTGCGGCGTGTTCCTCGTGGTTGCAGACTGGAGAGCAGAAGCTGTGCAGTTGCCATGAGCGAAGCTGTCTCTGGCTGATGTTAGCCACAAAGCTCCGCCAGCCACACCCCATCTCACCTGGCGACGCAGCATCTGTCGCTTCGCCGTGCACACGCTAGCATGTGAGCTGCAAGCACGGAGGAACATAAAACTCCCACTGTTGGTTTCTGCATGATTTATTTCCATGGCAAAAAGCCATAATTCGGTTTTGCTCTGCAGCAATTCAGCCGAAAGTGGGAGCGCTTCTTGTTCTGGCACACATCGCTGCCCAGAGCTGCTCAGACGTACCCAGGGAAAGCAGTCAGTCCTGGGAAAGCAAAGCCAGTCCTGGCAAATCCGGGAAAATCCAACAGCTTCCCTGATAGCTGTGTCAGGACTTACAGAGTCTTTGGTCCCAATAAAAGCACACCCTTGGCCACTCTGGCCACACATCTGCCCAGCTGCAGGGAGATCCCTGCCGCAGCCAGCGGCAGCAGCAGCACACAAGATAAGACCATGCAGGGAAGCAGGAGTGCAAAAAATTCCTCCCTGGGAGGGTAAGAGTGTGGAGGAGCAGATCGTCACCTATGTCAGGGGCCTTGAACCTCTTTTCCAAGCAACTTGTACCTGTCCCTGGCAGAGATGAGCCGTTTTGGGAAGGATGGTGTCTCCACCGCTCTCACTTGCAGGTCCAGGGCAGCCAAGCTGGGAATTTGTTCTTCTGGGGATGAAAATCCAAGCCCTGGAGCCCACCCACAGGCCTGAGCATCCTCTCTGCAGTGGAGGGGAGCTCTGACTCCAGCTGCACCCTCAGACTGTGGCAGGGCATCGGGAAGCCCCAGGTCACCCCTCTCCCTGCAGAGCTGCAGCTCTGACCTGCTCCCCAGGCAGGAGCTGCTCAGAGCTGGCGACCTGCTGAGGCTTGAAAGTCTCTCCCAGACAGGTTCTCCACCACTCACTTCTCACCTTTTTTCGCTGGGAAATCCACCTTGGACTCAAGGGAGCTTTGAGAGGGAGAGATTCAGGCTGGCAAAATGTCTCAGGTGTGGCAAACCACCTCCCCCAGCGAACTCCCTGCTCCCCTGGGGGCTGATGTTGGAGTGGAAGAAGACCCTCCTGCCCGCCGAAGCAGGGTGAGATCCTGCCGTTTGATTGCTTTGTGAAGGCTTGTGGCTTTTAAGGAGACCGTGAGTAGTCAGATGCCTCTCCAGTCTGGTAGCCTTCAAAGATGAGGTGGCTGGCCAGATGGATGGGGGCAGAGGCATGAGTGGATGTTGTTTATTTTGGCTCTAGTAAGGCTTCTGTAACATCCTTGTAGGCAAACTGATGAAGTATGGATTAGATAAAGGGCAGTGAGAGGGACTGAGAATCGGCTGAACAGCTGGGCTTGAAGGGTTGTGACCCATGGCACAAAGTCCAGCTGGAGGCCAGTGGTCAGTGGGGAACCCCAGGGATTGATACTGGGGTCAGTACTGTTTAATAGCTTAATGACCTGGGTGGTGAAACAAAGTGCATGCTCAGCAAGTTTACAGATGGCACAAAGCTGGGAGGAGTGGCTGACACAGCAGAAGGACATGCTTCCAGTCAGAGGGACCTCATCGGGCTGGAGAAATGGGCTGACAAAAACCTCATGAAGTTCAACAAGGAGAAGTGCCAAGTCCTGCCCCTGGGGAGGAACAACCCCAGGCACCGGTACACGCTGGGGGCCGACCAGTTGGAGAGTAGCTTGGCAAAAAGTACCTGAGGGTCCTGGTGGGCACCAAACTGGACTTGAGCAGCAATGTGCCCTTGCTGCAAAGAAGCCCAACAGGTTCCTGGGCTGCATTAGGGGGAGCGTTGCCAGCAGATTGAGGGAGGTGATCCTTGCCCTCTGCTTAGCACTGGTGAGACCACTTCTGGAGTGCTGGGTCCAGTTCTGGGCTTCCCAGTATGAGATACATATGGAGATACTGGAGAGAGACCAGGGAAGGGCCACAAAGATGATTAAGGGACAGGAGCATCTCTCCTAGGGGAGAGGCTGAGAGAGCTGGGACTGTTCATCCTGGAGAAGAGATGGATCAGGGGGATCTTGTCAACACATGAGTGCGGAGCAAAGTAGACAGAGCCCAACTCTTCCCAGTGGTGGCCAGTGACAGGATAAGAGGCAATGGGAAATTCTATTTAAACACCAGATAAAACTTTATCACTGAACACTGAAACAGATTGCCCAGAGAGGCTGTGGAGTTTCCAGCCCTGGAGATATTCAAAGCCCATCTGGACACGGTTCTGGGCAGCCTTCCCAGCCGATCCCGCTTTGAGCAGCACTGTGCTGGACCATCTCCAGGGGTGCCTCCAGCCTCAGCTCTTCACTGATCTGTGTTAAGCCGAGCATGGAGAGGCTGGTAGGGGCAGAACATTTTGGGAAGCCCAGAGCCCGTGCTCCAGCCACCGCTCAGCTCCACGTGCTGCAGTTTGGCAACCTTTGATAAGCACCCGGCACATAACAGCACGAGCGTGCTCTGGAGCCTGCTGGGGCTTTTGTTTTTTCCAGAGTTGCATAATCTCAGGCAAACATTGTCTTTTTTACTCTACAGACACGCAGGGAAAATCCATCCTGTAGTTCAGATAAATAATTCTCCTCTTTGTGGCCCCGCCACTTGGCACATTTTAGTTTCTTATGATTCGATGAAATCGAAAATGAGCGCTGAGTCAGAGCTCAGCACGCTTGGCTCCAATGCAAACCGTTTCCCATTCCTTCTGCCTTTTCTTTTTTTTCCCCTTCTAAATTCCATTTGGCTATTTCACTTTCATGACATCCTCTGTCATCATTCCGGATTTTTTCACTCAGGCTTCTCCCAGACTCCTTATTAAAAGGGAGCTGATTCCAGCTGCTGCAGTCTGAGCCACAACTTCCCGAGCTTCTGGTCCTGCTCCGGCTGCCCTCACCCGACGGGAAGATGAGGATCTCTGCAGCTGTTTTTGCTCTTCTCCTCATTGCAGCCTCTTTCTCCCAGACTTTCTCTGGCCCGGGTGAGTCCTGCTTTTCCATTTATGACAGAAGAATAGATCTGAGTCTTTGTCATCATTTCTCCGTTGAGCCTCCCTCGCAGATAACTGGGAATTTTTCAGCATTCGTACCACTCTTCATTTTGCACTCAGATCAGCTACACGAAGGAACCCAGAATTAGAAAATCATCTATCCATCCATCCCTTTGTCCAGCCATCCTGGGCTTGGAGCCCTTATTCCTGGTTATAGTTTTGGGACTTCAGTCTCTATCCTGGGGCTGGGGGAGGCGGGAAAATGAAGCTCTGAGCAATGACTGAGCGGGAATCTCCCCCAGTACCTAACAATACTGTCAAGGTATCTAGTCCATACTGGCTTTGGACCAGATGATCCCCTGTGTCCATTTTGACCTAAATTATTTCCTAACTCCTCCCTCCCTCCTGCCAGCACGGCTCCCTGAGCTGATGGGCCAGCTGCTCTCGACACACGTGCTCACGTTGTCTCTCCTTGCCTCTTCCAGCTGGACCTGACCATCCGATCTGCTGCGTTTCTTACGCACGCCACAGGCTCCCGCAGAAGCTCATTGCGCATTACTACAGCAGCAGCACCGCTTGCACCCTGCCCGCCATCGTGTAAGTACCGCGCCGGCTCCTGGGTGCAGCCGGGGCAGTGTGGGGACCGTGGCTCTGGGGTGTGCGTGTGCGAGTGACCAGCTGTGCAGGGTGGCACGGGGGTCTCTAGGAACACAGCAGGGTGAGAGGATCCTCAAGGGGAAAGGGCTTGTGTGGGGACTGCCAGGGATGCTCCTGTGGGGACGCTCAGGGATATTCCCGAAGGAGCTGATGAGGCAGCGTGGGAAAAGGGATGGGAGTGGGGGAAATCACAGCCAGCCTCTGGTTTCAACATCAGCTTAGGGCACGAGGGAGAAGCTCTTGCAATGCTGCAAAGCTGGGAACCAGCATCTCCCAGAATGTAGGTCTGAGCAGGGGTCTAATATGTCTCATCTCTGTTCTGCAGGTTCGTCACAAAGAAAGGCCGCCAAGTCTGTGCCAACCCCAGCGACCCCTGGGTCCAGACGTACCTGCAGAACTTGACGCAGAACTGAGCGAAGCAAGATGGCACACAGAGCTGAGTCATGTTATCCTGAGCTCCAGCGATGGACCAGGGTGCTGGAGCGGCAGGAGCTGCACGAGCCCACATTGTCCGCAACCGGCTCCACGGGGCGGCTGGAAGGGGCCCCCAAGACACCTCATGTCGGGCATGGACTGGTCTGCAATCTCATCCTTCTGCTCTGACCCCTTCGCCTGTAGCCTGGGCAGGCGCCCATGGGACTGCATCACTATTATTCTTATAGTATTTTAAATTATTCAAGAAATTGTCATATGGGACAGGCGGTACTTCCGTGGATAGCAGGGCTATTTATGGGAGGATGGCAGGGAGGGTATTTATGGGAGGGTGGCTCAGCATCTCAGCAATGGATGATGAGTGGCCTTGGCTTACACATGTGAAATCATGGTTCTAGAGAATAAAGAATTTGGATAAAGCCTCTGCTTTTCTCTGTTTATGTCCCGTAATGTCGCTTTCACCAGCACAGAGACAGAATCTCCCTCTGCCCCTCTCTACACACTCTGTATGGCCAGTGGTGGTGGCGAATGATTTGAGGCAAAACCGTAAAGTTTCCATTCTGCAGATGTATGAATATTCTCCGACACCTCATCCTCCACCACAGACACCCCTGCCTCCCACATCCTCTGCAGAATTAGACATGTTCGTACACACGTATGAGCCTTGTACAGACATGAACACGCTTCCCGCACACCCCGAGGCACGTCCCGTACGCTCGCTGGCTGCTCCCAGCCCCGCACGCCGCACTCCAGACTGGTCCCTGGGCATGCTGCGTGTGCAGTGGGGGGGTGATGGGACATGATGCTGTAAGGGGTAAAATCCTGCCAGAGGCTTTGCAGAGGAAACAAGGAGAGTGGCTCATAGTCGGATGGGAGGAAGCAGGGGACATGGAGCTGCTGTGGTGCTGGGGTTGCCCTGGGTGCTGGCAGGTGCAGGGGCACATGAGCTGCTTGTCCACCTCTGTGCTGAGGGTGCTGGGGCCAGTTCCTTGCCCGTACCCGCCCCTTCTAGCCATTTCTGCCATTTCTGCCAGTTAACTGGCAGTGTTTCCCAGCACGGAGCCCACAGGCACCCACATGCACGCTGTCAGGGGCCTTGCAGCATCTCACCTCCCACGGATCTGCTCCTCCGAGACATCACTGCATCTCTGCCTGCCAGCCCCCGTGTGCAGCTGGGTCCTGCGGGGTCCCGGCAGAGGTGCCTGGAAAGGGGCAAGTATGCCTGCTTTCTTTCTGACCACCCCAATGAAGGTTGTTCCTCACTTTCCCACCAGTAAAATGAAGGGAAGGGTTTGGCTATGCTGCAGGGGTAAAACAGCCACCAGCAAATCTTCTTTCTCCTGGCTGAAGTCAATCCCAGGATGCAGCTTTGCATGGAAACATGAATGGGATGAAGCAGGTTCCAAGAGTAAAAGCACAATGCTGGGCACAGCTTGCCTATTGCAATAATAGAATTAAAAAATCATACAATCACAGAATCATAGAATGGTTTGAGTTAGAATGGACCTCAAAGATCATCCAGTTCCAACCCCCCTGCCATGGGCAGGGACACCTTCCACTACACCAGGTTGCTCAAAGCCTCATCCAGCCTGGCCTTGAACACTTCCAGGGATGGGGCAGCCACAACTCCTCTGGGCAACCTGTTCCAGTGCCTCACATCCTCATTGTAAAAAATTTCTTCCTTATCTCTAACCTAACTCTCCCCTCTTTCAGTTTAAAGCCATTGCCCCCTGTCCTGTCACTACATGCCCTTATAAAAAGCCCCTCTCCAGCTTTCTTGTAGCCTCTTTTGGTACTGGAAGGCTGCTAAATCTGGAAATCATGCTCAGATTTCTCTGCTTCTGCACACTGAGAAGAAATACCCCCAACAGCGTGGTCACCCAGAGCCAACCTGGCCTTGCAGCCACCCTGTTCCAGTCAGGATTTCTTCTTCCTAATGCAAAAAGAAAGCATTTCTCTTACTGTTTCACTTTTTCCTGCAGCTATAGATCAGATTTGGCAACTCCAAAGCTGGGAAAGCACCTCCGCCTTGTCTTGTGATTTCCTTCTAGTACCATGTTTTCCAGGCTGGAAAGCCGGCTGCAGGCAGGAGGGCTCATGGAGCATCCGAGAAGCAGCACCCCAGCAAAGGGCAGACTCAGCCCAGGCACCATGTTGTGTCCCAGGAGATGGTGCTCATGATGGAGGACCATGTGGATGGCTTCTCTGCAGCTCCATGGGGATTGCTCCTGACCGCTCTGCTGGGAGGACGCTTTGGGAAAGCCCCAGGCTCTCACTCTCCCCTGGCAGGGTCCCCGCGCTCCCCTGACACAGCAGGGTCCTAGCAGAGAGGGTCAGGTCCAAGCAGGGACAAGGTGGGTCAGCATGTTTGCAAAAATCTCATCCATCTCTCTGGCCAGGGTTTGCCATCATGAGGGAGAGACAAAATCTGCAGAGAGGTGTATCCTCAACAGGATTTCCCCCCTGTGCCGTGAAACATGGGAGCAGAGAGTGGCCACTGCACGGTGGGCTGGATGGACAGGAGCTTCTGCCCGTGGGAAGGGGGTTCTGGGTGCTGGGAGTCTCCTCTACCCTGGAGAGCATCCCACACTCAGTCTGCTTTTGTGCTGACAAGCACAGTTTGGTGCTGCAGAGGAGCTGCAGGAGCCCCAGATAGTCCCTGATGTGGCTCCGTGCGTTGCAAGGGGACGGAGGATGGATGTTGTGGTGAGAGGGAAGGCTGGAGGGGTCTGAGGTTTGCCCCAGGCCTGGGATATGGGGGCCAGGCTGGAGAGGCTGGAACACTCGGCAGTACCGCCGGCGCTTCTCTGGACAGTCCCTGGCAGGGAGCCGAGCTGCACGTGGGAATTTCCCTCTCCAGTCTTTCTGGTTTCGGTTTCCTTCCCGACACTCCAGGAGCAGCAGTCAAGCCAGCTGGCTCCGGAAACCCTGCGCCCACCTACCCCAGACCCATCTCCCCTGGCATGAGCCAGGCACTGGGAGGGCAGGTCCCGGCTGCCTGTGCCAGACCAAGGGCATGGGGCTGGCGGGGGGTGGCACCGTGGTGGGGGTCTGTAAGAGCAAAGGAGAAATCATAGCCCCAGGGGTCAAACAGGCAGGGAGCAGCCTGCCCTCAGCCTCCTGCCTGCTGCCAGCTCTGGGCAGGGGAGGGCAGCCAGAAGGGGACACTTGGACAAGCTGGGAGAGCTGCTGTGGTGATGTGTCAGCTGCTTTTGAGGTCGTGCTTGAGGCTTGGGGCAGCACCAGCCCTTTCTTACCTGTGGCACAGAAATCTGCCAGAGACGCCCCGGCTACAGATCAGTTTATGGTTTATGACACCCCATTTATGACACCTACGTCAACTCCGACAGATCTACTCCTCCTTTTCCTGCAGGTTTCTTTGCCCTGTGAGCAAGTTGGAACAGACTCCACCATGAGACTGCATGTAGGACATGGGGCACAAACCAGTGTGGAGCCAGGTATCAAGTCAGGACTCAACCAGGCCAAGTGGTTCACCATCCAGATCTGAGCTGAAGGAATGAGAGTCCAGCCAAGAGGCAAGGGAAGAGTCCAGCTCCTCAGTTGCCTGCTGGAAGGTGACCATCACTCAGCCATCAGGCTTCTCGTGCTTACAGAAGTGGACAAAAGCCAAACCCAGCTGCTTCCATGGGGCCTGGCAGGTTGACTCTGCTGGACTCCATGAACCACAGTCTTTTCCTTCACTGCCTGCTGCTCAGCAATGCCCAGAAGGCACCCAGAAGATGAGAAGACCCTCATAGTGCCATGGGCAAAGCATCAAGCATCAAGCCTGGTCCACAACTAGGCATTCTTAGGCTGGACCTGGTATCCTGGTCCTCTCCGGTCTTTTTGAGAGCATGAACCCTGTGGCTGACACCTTTCTCCCAGTGAAGCTGGGAGAAGCCCTGGGCAGGGAGATGAGCTGTGCAGACCCTCAGACCCAATGGCTGTGTTGTGCCCCGCTGGTCACTGTTTCCAACCCAGCTCTGTAGTCACCCCCTCCACCGCCCTTCAGGGCAGCTCTCTCTGCTCTTGCTCTCGGCTGTTCTCGGGGTGAGGACCGCAGCTGTGGTTATTTCTAGGTGATGTTGCTGCTGTATTAAGGGATGTACATCCTGCCATGACCTCTCACTGTGGCTTTTCAATAGCTGATGGCTTGAACTTGGCCTCACGACTCAGCCTCTTTGAGTTTTGCCTTTCTAACCTACACCGGCTGTGTTCTGGCAGCTCCATGTCACTCTAGAAGCCTTTCTCCTAAACTCACCCATTCATACCACCCATCATCGGTGCTTCCCTGTGGAAAGCAGGAACTAGCTGGATCAGAGCTGAGCACAAACATGGTCTGTATCTCTGCTTAGCTCCTGATGGGAATATGAAGGTCTCTCTGGTTGCCCTCGTTGCTCTCTTCATTGCAGCCCTCCACTCCCAAGCCTGCTCTGCTCCAGGTGAATCCACCTCTGTCTTTGGGTTGGTTTTTCCTCTTCTGGAGAAAGAAGGGCTCACAATGGTGACTTGCAATGCCTAAGGAACAGGCATGACCTACTTTGACTCCTTGGTCTGGAGGATGGCCTGCTAGGAGTGCGTGTTCTCTGCTGGTCATGCACACCTGCGTTGTGTCCCCTCCTGGTCATATGGATTCAGTTCTGCGTCCCAAATCTCTTCCAGCCACACCTGACGTGACCACATGTGACACATCCGAATGCTGCTTTACATGCCCTTGGCAGAAGCTTTCCAGAAAACATGTGAAGGACTACTACTCCGCCAGCAGCCAACTGTTGTCTGGGTATGAGCTCTTTCCTGTGCAGGACACTTTTGGCTCAGTCCCACAAATCTTTCTCCCTCTTAGGACCAAGAGTGGGGCTTGTCGGGCATTATCTGGCATTGACCATCACTCAATGCTGGCAAGGAGAGATGTTTTCCAATTGCAAGGAGATGGTTGAGAAGGACCTGCCCACACTGACGCTGGGATGAGCCCAGGGGAGGG